CCCCCAGTAATGATACTGATTTCCCATGTGCCATGTAAGCTGGCTCTTAAGTCAATTCCTAAGAAAAAAAATCCCTTCTTCCTCAGTGACACCATGATATTCTGAATAATGGCAGCATTGTCAAAATAAATGCAGCGCATTGTAGCTCAATTAGTTTGAAGAGAACAAGTTCGCTTGTCTGTATACCTGTGTGTATGTGCGCATGCTACATACACACGTGATTATATTTTTTAATCACTCATTAACTTTAGTCACCTCCCATGAGCTCTCTCCTCCTTAAGCACAAAGCCCTTCCACTAACACATAAATAAGTCAGCAAATGAAGGAGGAACAAAACAGAAGGAACCGGGCAGGAAGTAGACAGAAAAGGAAGATATTGCAGGTTCAAGGAGGCCACTGGGGAGGAACAAGGACAGATGGAAGTGGTAAGTCCTTTGGATAAATATTTTTCAAAAGGAAAACATGTCTTATTAGCAAGGCCATTACTAAGATAAAGAGATGGTCCATTTCTCAGAAAAAAATGCAACTAGCTTTTTCGTATAAAAAGTACATTTGATGAAAGTGGCTTTAATATTCATCTACCATCTAATGTTCTCATCATATACGACAAAGCAGGATATATAAAAGGACGGCCCTACAATTCCATGAGGCCCATGGCTTGTCTGGGTTGTCCTTCAGGCAGACAAAATAAAAGCTTTCTGGGAAGAGCTTTACTGATTATGCCAGGATATTATTAAACCAGTGTACGCAGAGCCCTGTGCTAAAACTCCCCAGTGCCGGTCCCAGATCTCTTACCGAACAGCTGTTATATTTTGGGCCTTTGACTTACTTTCTTCCTCCCCTTCTCTAAAATAAAGGACTTGGACTAGATGATTCCATCTAAGTTCACAGATTTTGTGGTTCTCTTCACCACCAGGAAAACAATCACCACCAATATGTGTCCTTCTTTTGCAACATGCTTTTAGGTACCTGGAGAAAAATGCACTATAAAAGTGGGGAGATGTCATCATTTTTCTACTTTTGACAGACACGTAGCAAAGAATCACTATTTATATATAAACATATAAATTAAGATGGTGAGATTGAACAGGGAACGTAAACAGAAGAGACAGAGAAAAGGAGGCTGGCGGTTATTACAGAGACAAGGGGCCCATACAGCCCTCCTGGGAACATGCGTCCCTCCACCTGAGCAATGACTGCCTGGGTAGCCCAGAGGCTGAGGATGAGGTGAGAGCTGTAGGGTCTGGAACAAGCCTGCAGGGTGTGGGCTGAATTCAGTATCACTCATCTCATATCGTCTCTGCTCCCGGCACACGTTTGAAGGTTCACAGAGCATCTTCCTCTCTCTATCACTCGCCTTACCTTATTTATAGAGTGCCACATCAGAGATTCCAATAAATGTGTCATGCATTCAGTCTCCCTTCACTTGCTGAGTAATTCAATGAGTTAAATTTTGCCAGAGTTAGCAGTCTTGACCCAAAGATGCAGGGAATAGGATATGAGTACACTCCTACTTTGTGACAGGCAAGTTTTGCTGTTTTTAACCTAGGACTGTGACTCTGTTCTTCTTCTTCCAGACCATCCTGCTGCCTGGATCCCTAGACAGAATCTTCTGGCTGTATTAGCATACCTAATAAAGTCCTGTCTGTAAAAAGAACAGCAAATAAAAATTGCTCGTAAAGAATTCTCCCATTGAGAGGCAAGCAGTTTAACTGCTCAGTGGAAACTTGAAGTCGCTTTGAATGGGCTTCTGAACGCAGGACAGCGGAAGCTACCAGGGAAAGCAGCCGGCTCAAGCCAATCGGCAAGGGCCAGTAACAGGGAGCCCTTGCCATCTGAGGGTCAAACATTATTCATTACTACCAACCTTTAGTAACTAATTCATGACTATGATTCGCTCCACGTCCTAAGAGTTAAAAGTCAACTGCAACGCAGAAAAATTCATTATTTGTCTATCACAATTCTCTCCTTTATAGACACAAGGTAACTCCATAAATGTCCTCAAAACTGTGCCTAATGCCAAACCCTACTGCGACTATGGTGACAGCTGGCCAAGTTCTACTGAAAGCGAAAATGTGAAATTCAGGATTGGAGCACGTGCATAAGTGAAGCAACCACTGCAATTCTAGAGGAAACCCCTAGTTGACTGGAGGAAATGAGGTTCTCGGCACTGAGGACCCTGCCTGGCCTACAACACAAGCCACTGTCTGAGAGGGCACAATCAGACCAGAAGGAAAAGACCCAGCAGAGAGAAAGTGGCTCTCTGGTGCTCGATCCCAGCCACTCCGCTTCCAAATTGGAAACTCATTCGCCCCAGGATCATTTCATCCTGCCACACCCATTAGATACTTATTTTCCATTTCAAAACTTGTTTTACTCTTTTATTACTCTGAGTGGATGGTAATTAGATTGTTTCACTCTGTTTGACAAGAGTTACCTCTACTCTGTCTGGGAAAAGACAGGGTGGTGAGTGACTTAAATGGCCTTCTTGGTTTTTATTTAACAGACCACTTTTTTTATAGCACTTACGGTATGCCAGGCATTCTTCCAGGAACTTCACCAGTGATAACTCATTTAATTCTTATAAATCAAGGATCAATCAAGTATAATTAAGTATAAATAAAAGAGGAATCCATTACTCCTGGGGGGAACAGAGTTACAGGACTTTTTTTTTCAGGCTTAACAAAGATGCCTTACCAATGTTCCCTGCCTCGCGATGCTGAGTTTAGAGACCACTGGGGAGAGAACAGGCACATTTTCACAGAGACCATGAAGGCTCCCCCAAAAAAGGAATCAGAAGCCTGACTGTCACTGTTAGCCAGTGTCTGCTACAGCAGGACACACGCATATGCTGTATACCCAACAGAAATGTGTCCATATGTGCACAAAAATTATGCACAAGGATGTTCATAGCAATACTGTCCTTAGTATCCCCAAACTGGAAACCACCTAAAGGTCTATCAGCAGTAAAATGGTTACATCAATTGTGGCATATCCATACAATGGAATACTCCACAGCAACGAGAGGGAATGAACCACTGATACATCCAAGGGCATGGTGAATCTCACAAACACGATGCTAGACACGAAAGAAATACATACTGTGTGATTCCATTTATATGAAGTTCAAAGACAGAAAAAACTAACCTATGGAGACAGAGGTTGCAACAGTGGTTGCCTACGGAGGGGTGGGGATTGCCTGCAAAGGGACACAAAGGAACGTTCTGGGGTGATGGAAATGTTTTATATCTCGACAGAGGTGTTGTTTCCATGTGTATATTCATCTATCAAAACTCATCGAATTGTATACTTAAGATCTATGCATTTCACTGCCTGCACATTTTACTTCAATATAAAAAAGAGAGAGCTGTGACCTCTTAGGTGTTACAAACTCCTGAAGCTGTGGGCTTTGGTGTCGCTGCTGTCCTGCAGATGCTGCCAGTGGCATGTCCACAATCTGTAGCCTAACCCAGCTGCTAAAAGCAAAGCAATGCCTCTGAGAAACCAGACACAAGAGTCCCCTAAGTCAGGTCACCTCCAACCCTCACTTTATTCATTCCCTGTGGAAGATGTTGGCCATGGAAGGTTGATGAGGAGGTGCCAGAACTCTTTGGCGCTCATGCCAAATTTGAATACCCTCCCAGGGTTTTTTGCTGTATTATTCAATGTGACCAATTCCTGGCTCCAGAAGAGGACCAGTGGGAAGTGCATTTGGGTATGGTTCTCACCATATTCACCTAGTGCTGCTCCTCTTCCTGCATCTCATCAGGGGAGGAAGGGAGACTGGAGGACTAAGACATCTAGGCCTCTGGAATATTGTGAGGTTGAATGTGGCAAACTCCTAGTTATCCTCCCAATCCACAGTAGCTGATTATGGATGGGCCCATGGCTGCCCAGCTACAGACTACATTTCCCAGCTTCCCTTACAGCCAGATGGGGTCATATGACTATGCTCTCACCAATGGAATGTGAGTAGAAATGACATGTGCAAATTCTACTCGTTTTAAAAGTAATTGCCTGCCCTGAGCTTCCACTCTTTCCCCCTTTCCATAGGCTAGAAGCACAGACCTGACCCAGCAAATGGGAGACACGTCCTACTGGTTAGTAGTAGTGACCTAGCTTCAACTAGAAGGAGAGGACAACACTCTCAGGAATAAAAGAGCTACAAAATGGTCAGAAGGTCGGTCCCTGGACAACCCCTGGAGCAGTACTATGCCACCAGCCTGGTCCCCTCACCTCTAGACTGCTATGTGAAAGAGAAATGTCAGTCTTATTTGAACCATTGCATTTGGGGTCTCCTTGTTAAAGCATCTTAGCTAATACCCCTAGCACATAAGCTTTTAAGGCTGATGATCTCCAGGCAGGAATTTCCAAGTCTCATATACTCTACCTAGCCTGGTAATTTGTATTCCAAAGTTCAGATTATACTAGTACATAAAGATAGCACCCTCATTCCTATCATTCAGTGTTAACCCTGTTGCTTAAACTAGTCGCCCACAGTCTACAAGATACTATCAACTCCTTATTCATGTACACAAGGTCCTTTCAAGACATGGTCCCATCCTCCATGCTTGGTTTCACTGCATGTATTTGCTTCACTAGCATCTTGTGTTCTAGTCACACTGAATGTTCCCTGAGGGCACATTGCACATGCAGACCTCTGTGCTCACACTTCTGGCCAAGTGGAATGGCCTTTTTACATCTCCATCCCACACACTCTTCTGCTCATGAGGCAATTCTTACTCATGAGCCTTCAAAACCCAGCCCAGAAGACCCCACAGAAGCTTCTTAGGGATTTAGTTACATGTATGACCTCACAGGTACAATATATGTTCCAAAGACAAAATCTCCAAAAACGAAGACCATACTTTGCCCATTTTCTTAACCTTGGCATTTAGCACATGATCTGGCTCCTACTCAATGACGGTTGAATGAAAGAAAGAAGCAGAATTTAACAGACAGTGTGTTTCAAAACCCTGTATGGACATTATCATTCTTACCTATTCAGTGCAAAAGCATAGTGGAATTTAATATTATGCTGGTCAGCCAAATCACACGTAGGCAGCATTTCCAGTGTTTCTACCAGCTTCACCATTGCGTCATAGTCCTGTTGGCAAGAGGTCCCAAGGTGAGAAAGAGAGGAAACACAGCTCTTCAAAGATTTTTCTGAACAGTTGTAAATATGAGACAGCCTCAGCATTTAAATACAAGCCTTTCCCTACAGACAGCATTTAGAGAAGGTATTTGTAGCCCTTAATAGAACAGAAATAAGACCATAAGATAAGAAAAAAGATGGATGAGAGAGAAGACAGAGAAAGAAGCCCTGCTCTCAGAGGCCACAAAAGGATCAAGGGAAGGAGGTTAGATTCAAAGGCAACAAAAGAAAGCAAATGAGCCCAGCAGCCAGGAAACAGCTACCACGTTTTGAGCGCAAGAGAGTTACCACCACCAGCAAAGCGTTGAATTAAAATGAGCTGGACATAGACATACAAGGAATCTTACAGTCACTTGCCATGTAGAGGGAGGAAACATCCCAGTCTTTCCTATTTTGCCAGAAATAATCAAATTAATCCAAACCAGGGCTTCTCAACATCAGCACTACTAACATTTTTGGACTGGATCGTTCTCTGTTATGCGGTTGTCCTGTGCACTGTAGGATGTTAAACAGCATCCCTGGCCTCAACCCACTAGATGCCAGTAGCACCTCCCCCTCCCCCTTAGTTGTGACAACCAAAATGTTTCCAGACACTACCACATGTCCCCCGGTTGAGAATCACTGTTCTAAACCGCATAATTACCCAGGGAAAAATTGTTGCCATGTTTGTCTCAGCTGGATCCCCTGTGAGCAGTGCCATCTGCTACCCTTTCAGCCAGGCTTAGAATCATCGTCAATGGCCAACTCGCTGACAGCCGGCCACAGTTAGTGGAGGATGACTTCCCACCAAAATCCCATGCCTGTTTTATGGCTCTGCACCTTGATGCTGCTGCCCAAGGAAAGAGAAGGCAGCGTGTTCCAAGAAGCTTCTGGCTCACCTTTGAGTCTCAGAGATCCACTGACGGAAGATTATAAAAAGGAGAGATGCATGAAGGCAAGGACAGAAGGAAGCCAACAGCTCAAGGGAAGAAAGACTTCAAGAAAAGCCATTCCCATTCTCTGTCCCATGGGGCATGATTTAATCATCATCATAATCCCTACTAGCATCTGCTATTAAAATCAATTAGATGCATCTGTTTATCACTACGGGCATGAGTTTCTTAGTGGCTGACTCTGTTCTTGGTTCAGGTCATAAATGGATGCCTCTCTCATTAGATTTAACAACCAGTGGCCAACAACCTCCAATATGGCTTTGTAGAATCCTGCAGGTAAAGTGCACTGCCCTGTGTTCCTCCAAAGGGAAGGAAGGCAAGACGTCCTTAGAAATGGCTCACTGGCACTAAAATTGGAGGAAGGAAATGCTGATTTCCTTCATGGTACCACATCCCACAAATCCTGTCTCAAGAACTCTCCAGAAGCCTCTGATGCTTGTCTTAGAATAAACATCTACATTCCCTGGGTCCTGGACATGCCTCTGCTGCCCCTGCCCTCCCTGTCAGTGATGGGTGGTGGTAAACAAAGAAGGAAGTGACAAAAGCCTAAAGGAAGCATCACAGTAGAGGAGTTAAGGACAACTGAGCCAGTCATCTCAGTTTGAATCCTGACTTTGCCAAGTGCTGTGCGCCCTTAGGCAAGTTACTTAACTTCACTGTGCCTCAGTTTCCTCATTTGTAAAACGGAGACAATCAGAGTAAATATCCCATAAGCTTGTGAAGAGGATTAAATAAGTTAGGATTTGCAAAGGCTTGGAAGAATGCCTTGCATAAAATGCATATAAACTGTGAAATTCTGAGTTCCTTTATTGAGCAGTACTGTACATGAGTTATCGTTGGAGTGGCCCTATTTCCACCATAGCAGATATGCTAGGTGACCTATGACCTAGCCACATACCTATTTGTCTCTACAACAGCTACCTAACCATCCTAGTGTAAGAGTACTTACATGAGGAATTCCTCATGCCAAGGAAGAACTCGGCATGTGTCAGCCTCAGTAAAGTGTATTTCATACCTGGATATCGCGGTAGGACAGCAGTAAATTAATGATGATGTCTGAGGTCAGAACTTCAGTATTATCCATGCGGAGTTTGATCCGGGCCAGCTCCTTCGCCAGCTCATCACCTTGGTATTTGTCTCTGGCTCTCCGGATGTCATTTAGCAAGGTTTCTTTGTAATAAGCACTGGAGAGGGAAACATGAAAATCTCCAGTCATATCTACACACATCCAGGACTCTGTTTCCTTTAGCAGCCATAACAAACCTGGTTCTCACTGACAGAACTCAGGCTAACACACAGGGGCCTCGCCCAGACCTCAGCCAGCAAATGGGAGACACATCCTACTGGTTAGTCACATTTTGCAGAAACTAACCACTAAACAATAACAAAGAAAAATCACTTCATTACAGTATTTTCAAAATTGGCCCCATCTGTATTTGGATGACACATAGGACTTGCTAGCCACCCTACCCCACCCCACTTCCTCTGGTATTTTCAAACACACAGAGGGCAAGAAGTTTCCTTACCTGAACAGTTATTGCCCCCACTAAGATCAGATTACCACAAAGTCAAACAAAACTCCAAAAGCCAAGAAACACAGTAAAATGAGAACTTCTTTAAAATGAATCCAGCAGGTGTCCCCAGCTAGTAATCATGAAGCTTTTTCTGGTTGGGTGAGAGCCGGAAACTGGATGTGTCCACAAGCAATCCAGGAAGCCGGGCCTGTAAGCCTACAGACCACGTCTGCCTCCCACTCCCCACTCTCCCTGTCATGTCTGACCGTCAGAAGGCTTTTCTAAAGTAAAACGTAAAGCTTCCCTCATGTGGGCATCTAGCTAATAATAGGGATGTATAAAAATATTTAAAGCAGTTTAAAACCACACTAGAATGTCTCACCACAGCCTCTCAAAGAACCAATGCTAGTATCTTGTACTTGGTTTAAAATCTTTAAAAATTATCTTTGGGGCTGGCCCAGTGGCGCAGCAGCTAAGTGCGCACGTTCCACTTCCATGGCCCAGGGTTTGCTGGTTCGGATCCCAGGTGCAGACATGGCGCCGTTTGACAAGCCATGCTGTGGCAGGCATCCCACGTATAAAGTAGAGGAAGATGGGCACGGATGTTAGCTCAGGGCCAGTCTTCCTCAGCTAAAAGAGGAGGATTGGCGGCAGTAGTTAGCTCAGGGCTAATCTTCCTCAAAAAATTTTTTAAAAATTTTAAAAAAAGATCTAATTTGGTATATGGAGGCCAACTTACAATGACCACAGACTGATTTAAATATGTCGTCTACTTCCCAAGTAACTTTGTTTATGGAGACTGGGCTTTACCAAGCAGGAACACTGTCAACCCATTAAGCAGCTGAAATGATTTAACTGTATACAGTAAAATTAGGCTATTTACTAAAAAAGAGTGAGGCTCAATTAAACAATGGTCTGCACAGAAAGAGAAACAACACATAAGAACAAATGTTACCTACTCTTAATAATTATAAAACGATGCCAAATAAATGTGTCTACAATCCAATGCTTATAACATTTCGATTAACATTGAAAGAATGAAGTGATGCCCCACAGAAAGCACTCTGATATAAAAATATCAGCACATTGCTTTTTTATTTCTTTATTTGTCTATTGCTTATCACCCCAATGATGAGCAAATTAGCAGGTTCCGCCATTGTTTAAAATTCTATCATTAATTTAATGAGTAAGTTGGGTGACAGCCGTTGTCCATTTGGTGGACTATAAAGGCATCAAAGCAATTAAAGTGTTATTAGTTTAGCCTGACAAGTAAAATTGTATACTTTAGTTTAGCCTTGTTTTCAAGGGCAATTCTGAAAAATAGTTTTAATAAACTAAAAAACCTAATAAGAATGGTAACTTGTAAGTACATAAACAAAACACTGAATTGAGTACGGCTTGGGGACAGCATATATGTCATAAACATGCAGCCATTTCTGCCACTGGAAACCAGGGAAGATGTTGCTAACTGATGTGAACTTAGAAATGGCATCAAACTCCTTTTCAGCACAGGGCTCCAGGCAGCCTGTATCAGTTTATCAGAGTTGGCACCTAGCTAAAAATTTATCTGCCAACCCTGTTATAGATGTTTGAAACCGTAAGTACCATTTATTCTCTCACTAACCATTGCCAGGTATCTGCCAGTTCAAGGGGTGGAATCAACCAAGGGGTATTTCAAGCCCTTTGAAATTAAGCCAGTTTTCCTACTGATATACACACACATTGAATGAGAAACAAACTTGAGTCCATTTCTTGCAAAGATCTGGCTTTACCTGACAGACTCAAGCTAGCCTACTTCCTTGTCAGACCTGAAAACATGATATTGGTAGAGCTTTCGCCCTAAATTTGACTAAAATGTTCATTCCGCAATAAGACAATAGTTAGCAAGGTGTGACTGAATGAGGCTTTCCAAAAATGTGCCACAAAAGGTCCCTCATTTGCTTTCTATGTTGGCATGCAGTCACATATCTGGGTTCCTAGTCTTCTCTTCCCATTAAATTCTGTAGAAGAAACTCTAGTCCAGAGAGGAGGTGATTGACAGAAAAAGAGAAGAGACTGTTAACAAGTGTGTGCCTCATACCAGTACTACAACAGTAACACTCCACAGTTCAGGGTGCCACGATTTGGGCCAAAGTGGGACGTGTGGTGCCTTACATTTCATTATAAGTCAGTTCGGTCAATGCTTCGGATTTTCATTTGTTTTGGAAGGACAAATCCTTCTCCTTGTGACATTTACAGGAGTAAATCCTTTAAATTGGTTGCCAGGAAAATAATTGGATCCTTTTGTTAAGTAGAATCATTTTTCTGCCTTCAACTTTTAGAACAAGAACATTTTAAGGCATGATTTCTTGAGCACCGAGGCTCAAAGAGGTGAGCTGACTTTTACAAGACTACACAGCTAGGAAGTGCATGACCCAGGATTCAACCCAAACCTGTCTACCTCTGAATCAGTATTCCACATTGTCTCCGAAAGAAGTGTACAAAGGACACATCACAGTACATCCTGAGGTCAGGATGGCTTCAGCTTGACTCAATGCATCCCGACTTTGATAGCATAAGAACTTATGGTCACAATGACCTTGCTGAGGCATTTTAACACCTCAACAATGGATGGAGGGAGGATCATGTTCAGAAATGATCTTGAAACACAGAATGTCAGAGTTGAAAGCATTAGAAAAAAATTCGTGACAACTACCTTATTTTCTAGATGAGAAAACTGCTGCAGAGAAGTATTTATCAAGGTCACACAGGGAGTCAGGGCCAGATTCTGGCTTTACCCTGACCTCCTAACTCTAGTTTTATTCTGTTTTGGATACACTTCAGTGGCCCAACTTAGTGAGGTAGTAAGGGACAATAATGGATTCCAGGATAACTTAAGAATGATTGGCCAGAGTTCCCCATTCTCTGGCACTGTGGTCTTTTGAGGGTTTATTGCCTCCATGAATGTGAAGGGCAATTTCTGGAAAAGCTCCCAGGGTTGTTGACAGGTGATGGGAATTACCATGAGGTCACGTGGATGTCCTTGAGGAGGCTAGTAAACCTGTCCACCAGGGGCACACACAGTGGGCCCAGGATGGTGTCCCAGTTGGGCTGCATGTACTCCGAGGCACGCCTCTGGGCATCGCTCTCACAGCAAAAATAATCAGCACATGGTGTCACGATGTACGGGATGAAATAATAATTTCCACTAGATGCCTGGAAAAAAGAAACAGAAATGTTTCACAAAGTAATTGGTGCAGAAGCACAGCTGTGGATTTGGGCAGGCAAAACCTGGTGGAACAGGGAAGGAGAAAATGCCTGAGTATGAACAACAACTTGTGCAATATGACTATGAATCTATTAGGCACAAAACAGGAAACCACTCAATTTCACAAACTCCAACACATGGATGTATGACAAAAATTTGGTTTCAAATGCTGAACTCATCTGTATGTCTCTGAACTTCATTGGCAGAGATTTTAGGGTTTAAGGTCTCAGAAACCACATCATTTCATTACCTGCCTCCAAAATCAGAGGAAACTTGAACCCATTGATAATGAAGGACTGCAATATAAAGGCATATTTTCTTTCTTTTAGTATAGATGGAAAAGGCTTATTATTTCATAATTTAACTACAGGTGAACTTTGTTGAGTAAAAATTGCTTTGCAGGAAGCAGATATTAATAAATATGATTAGACAGATCAAGAGATTATGCAATCTGAAGAAGAGAGAGAAAAAAGAATGAAGAAAAACAAACAGAGCCTCAAAGAAATGTGGGACACCACCAAGTGCACCAACATACCCAACACATAATGGGAGCCCCAGAAGGAGAGGAGAGAAAGGAACAGAAAAATACTCAAAGAAATAATTGCTGAAAACTTCACAAATTTGATGAAATGAATCTACATATCCCAGGAGTTAAATGAAATCCAAATAGGAAAACTCAAAAGAGATCCACACCCAGATACACCATAGTCAAAAATTTGAAAGACAAAGTCTTGAAAGCAGCAAGAGAAAAATGTCTTATGCAGAAGGGAATCCCAATAAAATTAATATCTGTCTTTTCATCAGAAAAAATGAAGGGGGGCCAGCCCCATGGCTGAGTGGTTAAGTTCGTGCGCTCTGCTTCGGCAGCCCGGGGTTTCACTGGTTCGGATCCTGGGTGCAGACATGGCACTGCTCGTCAGGCCACACTGAGGCGGCATCCCACATGCCACAACTGGAAGGACTCACAACTAAAATTGCACAACTATGTACTGGGGGGCTGTGGGGAGAAAAAGGAAAAATAAAATCTTTAAAAAAAAAAGAAACAATGAAGGGCAGAAGGTAGTAGGATGACATAGTCAAAGTGATGAAAGAAAAAAAAGTCAACCAAGAATCTTATATCTAGCAAAACTATTGTCAACCTACAAAAAACAGAAACAAGTTTACAAGACAAAGCATTTATTTGGGATCAAAGAATTGCAATTTGGGGAGCACAGATTCAGGTAGAAACCCAGATAGTGTCCCCCTTACAGGAGAGGGATTTAGAGTTTTTATGGGAAACAGGGAGGATGAGGTGAGTTGTATTAAAGAAGATTTTGTTGGTGCTAGATGAGGTAAGGCTAGGTTTATATGTACTTCATTGATTGGCTTGAGGTTGGAGGCAAAAGGCTAGACTGGTACTTCATTGATTGGTTGGCTATCTGGTCAGGAGCAAAGTCCAATTTCATCAGTCCTTATGGACAGGATATTCTTGTCCTGACTGAATTCCTGGAATGCTGGCAGTTTGGTCCAGTTTGGAAGATAAAGAAAACAAGACATGCAAGGCAATTCCTCTGAAATGGCTGCTCCGGCCCTATTTTAATATGGCTCCACTCAGGTCATCTTTCACACTATCTTTTAAAAAATGAAGGTGAAATAAAGACATTTTCAGATAAACAAAAACTAAGTAATTTGTTCCTAGCAGACCTGTCTTACAAAAAAAGACTAAAGGAAGTTCTTCAGGCTGAAAGCATGTGACACCAGACCGTAATTCTAATTCACATGATAAAAACAGTGTGTGCCAGTAAATGTAGTTATATAGGTAATTATAAGAGACAATACAATTGCCAATTTCTTCTTTCTTCTGACAAATAAAGGAAAAGCAATAGGATATATTGAACTATATGAGGAAGCCATTTACTTTAAAACTAATTTGGCCTGACCTTGTTTTTCCACAAGGGCCTGACATGGCCTGTTGAGCATGCATTGTCCATCTGCTTTAAACATTTATGATACTCCAAAGACAAGAATGATGCCCTTAAAGATAAGGATGTACCCCTTCCTCTATATTGGCATTCCCTTAAGGATAAGCATCTCTTCCTAAAAACTAAGGATTAATTACCAACCTGCTGTGCCAGCAAAGCAATCTCGTGACTATTGTAAAAGGGACATTCCTATCATATGTGATGTATGCTGTTTGTTCCAAGATGGCATATAACTACTCTGTATACCCCACTTCTTCTGTGCCCTTCCTTCCTTGGGGAAGGAAGACCTCGGGCTATAGCCCTCAAACCTGGCTCATAATAAACTCACCCCAATTTTGACTTATAGATTGATTATGGATTATTTTGTCAATATTTCTTGGTGTAGTTGCAGCAGGATTTCAGAGAAATCCACCAGAGACCAACTGGAATCTACACTGAACCGGCATCTGGTACCAATAGGAGCCCACTGAGTCCCCTGGATCACTGTATTCTTCAGGTGACCCCAGTGAGTTCTCCTGAAACCCAGACCTCCTTATTTTAAGTCAATGGTCCAGAGTTTATACGAGTTGTTTCAAGCCTTAAGACTAGATGTCTTAAGGGGGTACCAGTACCTACCCTAGGTAAGAGGAATCTATGGGGCATTCCCAGGAAAGAGAAACCTAGGGGGGATTTCCTAGGTAAGGGGAGCCTATGGGGAACTTCGGAGTGAATGGAGGCAGGCTGATCTTTTCAATTTGGCTTTAAACTGGAAAGAATTGTGTTTATCAAGTCTGAAGAAACTGATTGATAGAAAAATGAGAGTCTGAACTTGTTCATTTCTGAAGAGAAGGGACACCAGCTCCTCCCAGCTGTAAGTCATTCTCAGGCAACTGAGAACCTAGTGGGAGTGTCCGAGGTTGAGCCTCCAGATGTGCATAGGGAATTCCATTGTGATGGTTCACTCTAAGCAACTGACAGCTTGTCCAGGGATGCACAAATGAAGGTTGCTCATCCATACACTCTGAGCTCCCACAGTAGTTTTAGATTGTTGGTGGGAGAAACTGAGACACGTGAGGGTGCTCACGACCTTGTTTAGGGAGTGATACTCACAAATAGTACTCTGACCCATTACACTGTCCCTAGAAATTGTTCAGACTTTATAGTAAAACAAAACTAAGAGAAGAATGAGAAATCGAGCTTCTAAAAGCTTACCAGTTCCTGAATGGGCAAGGCTCCCCTTGGAACTCCGGCTGGCTTCATGTTAACACTTGCAAGTGCTTAACAAAAGAGGGATAGCTGTAAACAGCTGGCAAGATAACCCAGGATAATTTAAAATTACAGTGGCCACACTTGGGGGCTCCTTTGACCCTCCAAAACTTGTACATTGGCCATTGGAAGGAACATTCTAATTAGATAAGATCTTTTCAAAGTGCACTTATTAAGTCATGGCTACCTTTGAAGGAGGACCCAATATGAGCCCCTCCCAGGGTTAATGAGACTCAGATTTTCTGGGAAACTGCTACCCTTAAAAAGTCAAGAGGAAACTAAAATTAAAAAATTAATGGAGTTGTTTAATACTGCCAGGTAGTTACTACTTGTCCCAGCTGAAACCTGACAAGATATGTGAAAGGATTTAGCAACTTATGATCAGAAATTCAGCCAAACTGAAAGCTGATATTTAGAGCTTAGTAAGAATTTTTTAGGCCTTCTTCCCTAAGTTAAAATAAAACTAAGCACCTGGAGGGAAAGAAGCAAATTAGGGTGACGTAGTTGGACAGGTAGATTGTAACTTAAATGACATTATAGGTCAATCTAAATTTCTGAGAAATTAAGAGCAATGGTCATCAACTTACAAACCTTTGCAAAACTGGAAAGCAGCTCTAGAGGCATTTCAGATTCTACCCATTTCCTTTATCTCAGAAAGGCTTATCGCCTCCCCTCTCCAAGAACTGTTTTCTAGCCCATCACTAATTCCTAAGACTGAATTTAAAAAAGAAGAGAAAGGCAAGAAAAACAGCCATAAGAGTACTCTATCCCCAAATCTAGCATCTTTAGGGTCTTCTCCACAAATATTAGAAAAAACTTAAAACAAAATTTGGATTTAATTATTCTTTCATAACTAGTGAGGCACATATTACTGTACCTGATTCATGGCAGTTATTTTAAAACAACAGGTGTGGAGTTATTATGTATGTGTGTCTGTATGTATATTATATATGTGTGATATCTTACCTCCAGATGGTATAATTTCTAAAGAGCTTTATTTAGTTGGCTTAAAGTAAGCACTTATATAAATGTAATGAAACTAACCCAAATGTCTTTCAAGCTAACATGATATAAAATAATATTTGGTAAATAAAAGCTTATTTAAGATTGTTGCTTTGATTAAAATGAACATATTTTCAGAGTTATCAGCATGGAAACAAGTAAAATAAATACATGTGAAAAAGATACGAGTGTTAGGCGAACTTTTTAACAATAATTATGTGTTTTGGTGTATGTACTTAATTTCAAAACCTTTTGGTAACTTGGAACCTTAGAGTTTTGCTAAGTGAGTAATGATCAAATTTGAATATCCAGATCATTTCCAAATAAGATAAAATATTAGACATTAATGATTAAATATAGGTTTATCTATTTTTGGCTTGTTATTATAAAGAAACTAAAAAGAACGTTTGGGTCTGTCAGTAAACATGTCTTGTAATTTATTTAAAAATTGTACTATGAATTAGCATTTCTCTAGAAATTATAAACAGTATTTACAAATTTGCCAAGCCACAGAATGCTAACATAAGACAGTTTATAATTGCTTACTTCTTAGTTTTCACAAAAAATTAAGGTTTCTAAGGGTTAAAATTCTAATATATGTGGTTAAAGCTACTAAAATTTAATAAGGAAAACATCTTTGTATTCAAGGAAAGTAAGATGTATGTCTTCAGTAAAGAAGGTATAAAGAATGGAAATATTTTTGTTTTTATAAGAAAGATAAACTTATCCTAAAGTACTAG